GGAACAGGCACTGGCAGGCACCGTCCTCACCCTCCTCTGCCTCCAGATGGGCTCTGGCCCGGAGGGGGAGGAGTTGTTTCGCAGCCTGAAGCCCCTGCTCATCAGTGTCCTGACAGACGGCACGGCCAGCCCCGCTGCCCGGCAGAGCGTCAGGCCCAGCTCCTTTCCTCCTGAAAAAAAACACCTGGGCGGTGGGGAGAGCCCAGGTGATGCTCTCAGGGGCCCCTGTGGTCGCAGGAGGGGGGCAGAATTGGGTGCTGCAGGGAGCGGTTGGGTAAAGAGGGAGCACCCTGACCCTGCTCCCCCTTGGACAGTGTGGATCTGGCCCAGCCGTGCCTCCTCTGACAGCCTTCTCCCCATGTCTCTTGCCAGTGTGCCATGGCCCTGGGCATGTGTTGCTACATTGCCGCTGCTGACCTCGAGGTAACTGCACCTGGGGGTCATCTGTACCCCTGTCGGGGGGCACCCTGGGGGCTGCTGTGCTACCCTGCCTCAGCTCACAGTGCCAGGGCAGCTTGGAGCTGAGTCAGGGAGCAGGCACGGGGACATCGCTTATAGCCCAAGCCCCTTCCTTGGGCAGTGTGGACCTGAACTGGGGGGACGAAGCCCAACTCGCAGAGAAGGACTGTCCCGGGTGGAGGAGTCCTTCCTGCCCCAGAGGGCTCCTGGTGCCCCTGGGCAGGGTGGGTCTCCTTTGGTCCCCAGTGCGTGGCATGGCTTCGCTTTGGCGTCTGCCCAGCAACTGTGGCGTGACAGGTCGGTTTTCACCCTCCAGGACCTGGTCTCATGCCTGTCCTGCTTGGAGGGTATCTTCAGCCCCCCCAGCACAGGTGAGGGGGGCTTGGCACCCACCCAGCACAGCCCTCTGCACTGCAGCGCGCTCCAGTCCTGGTCCCTGCTTCTCACCATCTGTCCGCCCTCCCACATCAAGAGCATCTTGGACAAGTGAGTGGGGAAGGAAGGGGTGTGGGGGCCATTGTGGGGCAGCTGGATGCAGAGCAAGGAGCCCCTGGGGTGGTGTCTGACTCCCCTCTTGCCTTCTTGCCCCAGTTGCTGGCTGAAGCTGTCCCTGCTGCTGTCCAGCAGCAGCGTTGTGCTGCGCATCCTGGCCGGGGAAGCCATCGCGCTGGTCTTCGAGCTGGCCCAGGACATGGAGGTACGGCGGGGTGCTGTGGTGATGGGAGGCGGTGGGTGGGTGAACAGCAGAGGGGCAGGGAGCTGCTGGCGCAGGTACCCTCCCCATGCCCTGGCTGAGCTGGCACTGATGGCGTTGGGATGCTCCAGGCTGCTGTCACCAACAGGTCTTGTCCTGGCAATGGTGGCATTGGGCAGTTCCTGGAGCCACATCACCTCCAGACCTCCCTGTTTTTTTGGCAGGAGGACTTGTGCCACCAAGATACAGAGTTCCTGCGTGCCCAGCTCAAGGTCCTGGCTACTGAGAGCAACAAATACCGAGCCAAGACCGACCGACGGAAGCAGCGCTCCATCTTCCGGGACGTCCTGCGCTTCATCGAGGTACTGGAGGCTGGCGGTGCTCTTCCCTGCTGAGCCCCTGGCTGTGCGGCTGCTGCCCAGCTGCCTGGCGATCCCCACATCTCTGCTCAGAGCTGGGGGACGCACAAGGCTAGCACCCAGGGATGCCCCTCTCTCCACTCAGAGCGGGGAGTACCAGGAGGAGACCATCCGATTTGGCCTGGAGTGCATGTACCTGGACAGCTGGACACGCCAGCGGACGTACCAAGCCTTTAAAGAGGTGCTGGGCTCCGGCATCTGCCACCACCTCCAGGTAGGGGCTGGGCGGCTGTGCTGGGGGTGCTGGGCCAGTGCCAGCGGGTGCTGACAGGCCCCTGCTTCCACAGAACAACGAGCTGCTACGGGAGATCTTCGGTCTTGGGCCCCCCTTGGTGCTGGATGCAGCTGCTCTGAAAGCCAGCAAGGTCTCCCGCTTCGAGAAGGTGGGTGCCTCCACTCAGATTTGTGCCCGCAGTCCCCTCCGTGCCACCGTGGGCTCCAG